CTTGACAAATTTAACATGAGCATTCTCTTGCACTTGTCAAGTGTAGGATTCTTTATGGTGATCTTCAATACTTCCTTGTCAAGCACAACCTTTCTTCCCAAGACCTTGTCTCCCTCTTTGTTTTTCCTGGGTTCAGCAATAACAAAATTATTTTTATTAGCATATTCGACTATGTTGGGCCTAATTAACATCTTCTTCCACTCGAAGTCCACGGGATTTATTGGGAAAGGATTCTTATCAACTTGCGTCTTAGAAAAATTCAATTATTTTTCATTAATGTCCGATTGTATCTGTTGTCGAAAAACATTGCAATAATTAGTGGAATGAGAAAAAAGAATTATGATATGTGCAATAAGCACACTGTTCTAGCTCTTCAAACGACCGTGAAGTGTGAGATATTCTAATGATCTAGCTTGTAATAAAGCATAAAATATTTTATCACACTTAGCATTGTTAAAAGTAAATTTCATCTCCTCCTCATGGTTTTGGTGAATCGACTTTAGATCATTGCAAGTACATGGTTTGGCCTTTGAGGGCCAAACAAATTTAGTGACATAAATAGTAGCATCATCGTTCGATCTTTCACTATCATACTCAACCATATGCATCTTAGGACGATCGGTTTTATACCTATGGATCTCTTTAAGTTCCTTCCTTTGGCTTTCTTGATCCAAAGCTCTTTGTAAGACTCATGAGTTCTCAAACTATTAAGCACAAGATCTGCCAGGTCTCTTCTCATTATCAGCAAGCTATAACATCATCTTTTGTATCTCTAAACCTTTTGACATAATCAAAAACAGATCCATCTTGCTTTTGCCTAATCAATGTGAGGTACGATAACTTCAGCTCATTTGTCTCTTGTACAAACGTGATCATGGAAGTTTTGTTCGACTTTAGACTATAAATGAATATAACCCCGTGGTAAAGCAACAAACGATGAAAATGTTGCACTAGTTAAAGATAAAGGAAATAAACACACTTTCAACTCATTTCATGAACCTGCTTCACCAATTGTGCCAAGTATTGAGTAACATGTTCCCATGTGATGTTTGTGCCCTCCTCGCTAAATTTAACAAAATGTGGGATTTTATATCTGGGAGGGCATTGAATTGTGTCAAAGTACTGAGGATATGACTTTTGGTAAACCCGGTTCCATGCTTCCTCAATTGCGTAATTTTCTTGAAACATCTTAGTTATATCCTCCCTAAGATTAGCTAGAAGATCGTTCATAGATGATGATGATGCTTGCTGCAATGGCATATGCGGGACATAAATTACTAGTTTCAGGGGCTACTTGTGGTGCGTATGCCAAACCGTAATTCGGCAATGACCAAACATGTTTGCACCTATAGGTAGGGTTTGGTTCGACATTGCCATAGAAACTCAACATACTCATGATAATATTAATAGGTGTAGCTAGAATAAAAAGTTAACAATGTGAGACACATTGATGATTGAGTAGATACACCAACATTACCGTTAGATGATTGAAGCCTATTTTTTCGAGAATTTGCATTTTCCATGAAAGCTTGGTATAAAAAATTACTATTTTGAGTAACATGACTATTGATTTCAACTAATTGATCGGGAGAGAAGGAGCTACTCACAAAGGGTTTAACATGTTCGTCGTGGAGAGAAGGGAATGTGGTGTCCCCAATATGAATGATGTTGCTTCGATGATCCTTCTTGAATTTTGCGAGCCTGCAATTCCTTCTCTTCATATGACTTCTTGTATGTCGCATAAGTTTGGTGAAGATCCTCCAATAAGTCCTCAAGACTAGGCTCGATGATTCTATAGACACTAACCTCTGCGGGGTTGGGAAGCTTTCGTCATTGGCCATGATGTATAATGACGATTCTTGATCTTTATTTTCCATGGAGTAGCAAAATAGTGTGTTCACACACGAACACCATGTACCTCCAACCTCGAGCGCGGAACGTAATACCTGTTGCCGGAGGAGCCTCACCGAGACCACGACACATAAAGACACATCGGTGAGAACTTTTGGGAACCTGAAACCCCACAAGCCTGGGAGGAACCATGTTGACTGCCCCTAAATTCTCGGAATTCTCTCCTCTCCAACACGAAGAACAACGAAGGCCGAGGGATAAAAAGCGAGGGGAAGATAAAAAAGTAGATGAGAAAATAGTAGACGCAATTGACGATTGTTTGTTGTTCAACTGGTGCTCACATCTCATCAATATATGAGGCAGATAGACTTCCCATACAAGCAAATGACTCAAAATCCTGTCTAGCAAGTAAAGAACCATGGCCTGATTCAAACAATAAAACGTGCACGCCCTAGGCCATCTCCAATGCTGACCTCAAACCACCCGCAACCATCTGGACCGCGTGATCTGGACGTGTTGTGCCATCCAATGCAGGTATGTATCGGTCCGTTCAACGGTCCGGGCGCACTTTTCCCGCAAACCAGAGACAAAATAGAGGGTCTTGTGGACGTGCGGACCTCTACCATGTCCGCTTTTGACCGCCCTGGCCCACCATCAACTCCAACCGGCGTCCACATGCGTTCTTGCCTGGCGCCAGCTGCCTGCATTCATGCCAATATAGAGTGGCCGCTCTGCATTGACGCTGACGTTGAATAGACGTGACCTCTCCTTGCCATCATTGAAGCGGCGCGCCGGCCAAGAGAGCATCGCCCACTGTAGGTCCGGTTGAACACGCCTCCTCGCCGCATTCAAACGGCTACAAACTGCTCGCCTTCCTCCATTAATCCCACATGTGTGCCGAGAAACCTCCTCCGGCCACACGTCCGTTTGCGAGCCACTCATCATTAACAGAACGCCGGTTGGCTCCGGCCGTCCACTTGCTATTTAAATGATGCCAAACGCTGGGCAAAATTCACACAACACTTTGCTCCCATCTTTTCATTGCATCATTTTCTCCACAATTTCCATGGCATTGGATGAGCAGGAAGAGGAGTTCTCCGGCATAAAAGCCGGCTGGGTGACCTGTTGAGCCCGCCAGATACGAGCCACACAACTGTCTGCTCCACCTCCCTCGACGCTCTAGGCCATTGCAGCCCAGCTCGCGGATGCGGAAGCTCCAAGCATGCGCGTCATTCAGCAACCCGGGGGAGCATGACATCACTGGCATTGTGGCTGTCGTGGACGATGTCGTGTCGTACTGCCACTCCCATGCCCGCGACCGCGGTATCTGCCATCAATGTTCGCGTAACCACGCCCTGCCGACGGAGAAAGAAGCCGGCTTCGCGGAGACCGATGAGGCGGCGGCCAGCACATCCGCGTCCGCCGCCATCACGGAGGAGAAGTAGAATATGGGAGGTCGCGCCGCTTGGGTCCCATGAAGGCCACCGCCGAGGCGACACCAACATACACAACTGGTGTCTTCCCTGGTCGCAGGCCACCGTCATCCCTCCGTCCCAAAACCAACCTTGATCCCTACTTCACGGAAGCGGAGGGAACCTTTCCCCTCCGGCTAAAGCATACCCGGCGGTGCCACTCAGATGAGCGGCCCTGCCAAACATGGGGAAGCGAGCCGCCCTTTGTGCTGAAGCAAATACCTCTGAAGCTCACGCCAGTCTGATGTGCAGGCTGCCGAACATGGGGAACGCAATGGAGATCCGTTGTGGCCGACCATAAACTAGTCAAGGGTACCCATGTCGTGGGAATGGATAGCCGTCGGCGCTGACCGTAGACTAATTTTACCTTAGTCCAGTATAGCTTTTAGTCAATAAAATATCCATAATGTAATGAATTTGGTTTGGTTTATATGAAATCCGCCGTGTTTGCATGGATTTTATCCATTTAGTTCAAACAATGGTTAAAATGTATGCCGGACAATGTTGGATATCCGACACTCGTATCCGTGTCTGCGGACTGGTCCCTGTCCGTGACCAGATGCGGAAGAGAATTTACGGGTGAGCGTTGAAGATGTAGGTCAAACGTGGGTCGAGCTCTTCGACTGTTATCAGAGCGAGGGATGCATCCTTAGCTCGGAGTATCAACCTCATTTTTGCAACCTTCTGTCCTTGATCATGACTCGGCTCTACAGCTTGCATACAACTTTGGATTGAGAATGCGAGATGATCAGAAAGCAAAAGATGTTCGTCCTAACGAGACCAAGGAATTTCATCGTTCAGCACGTGTTCATCTGAGACCATTTCGATTAAATTTATTGCTATGTCAAAATCAACTCACATAGCTACTCGCAAAAATAAATAAATTCAACTCACATAGCTGAATACTACCCCCGTCACGGTTGAGAAGGCGTGCTTAGAAATTCTTTGGGACCTATGTGGTTATTCATTGGTTGTGAGATGTGCTAAAAAATAGCATTCACACTACATATCGGAGTACTAATTAGCTACTAGAAATAAATGCAAAGCGCCTAAATCTTGTCTATTATGAAAATGCATATAAATTTAACTGTGCCTTCTAAGGGCTTCTTTGGATCACAGGATTTGCAAAACAAAGGAATAGGAAAAATGGAGGATTTGATTGCCATGACATAGCCAATCCTGTGGATTTTTTCCAGAGGTCAGACCTCATGTGTAAATTCCTTTGGAATCAGCACCTTGAAGACCCAATCCTGAGGAATTTTAATGGCCCAATCCTTTGATCCAAATGCGTTTCATAGGAAACAATCCTGAGGATTGATATCCCATGAAAATCCTATGAAAATCCTCCAATCCAAAGAAGGCCTAAACTATGACGGAGGGAGTAAAAGGTTTTCACCTCGATGAGGCACAGATCGGCGGCCTGCTTCCAGATCCATATCATTGCATCCAAGTCTCAACACACGCAAACCGCATGCTGAAAAAGACCTCCTCTACTCCAGCGCCCGCCTTTTAACACCCCCGTGCGCTTTAATTCGTTCGCTTTCGAAGCCCACCATCCCATTCCCACCCAATTCTTCCCTTCATTGCCTCCCACAATTGGCTTCTCGCCGCGCCCTCTTTCCCCCTCCCCTCCCCCGCCTCGCCCACTGCCCCCTCGATCCAGCGCGGGAGCACCAGATGGATCGGCCGGCGCCGGACCAGCGGCCCACGCTCTTCTCGCCGTACCAGATGCGCCGCTTCAGCCTCGCCCACCGGTGAGCCGCCGCCCCCTTCAACCCGCGCCGAAAATTCTGCCGCCTCTGGTCTTCGCTCACCCGTTCGATTCTGGCGACCATTTCCGCGTGCAGGGTGGTGCTGGCGCCGATGACGAGGTGCAGGGCCATCGGCGGGCTGCCGGGGCCGGCGCTGGCGGAGTACTACGCGCAGCGGGCCACCCAGGGAGGCCTGCTCATCTCCGAGGGCACCGTCGTCTCGCCGGCCGGGCCGGGGTAATCTCGTCACTTCCTACCTCTCTCGCTCCGCTCCCATGGTCCGCACATGGTCGATGCTCCTGTTCGGACTAGTTTACTGTCCCTGTTTCAGAATCCGCGCTCGTCGTACTGTCGTTTGCCTGGGTCTTGGATTTGTTTAGTAGCAGCGCTGCGTGCGCATTGCTATGATTAATATTCCTGCTAGATCTGAGTATCTGGCAGAATGATTCTCTTAAAGGTGGTTGTTAGGCCACTTTGTCGTCGGATATTTGGTTAGAGTACTAGCTTTGATTTCCATATTTCTATTGATAGGTGGTGGTTGAGTGACGAGCACCGAGAACCTACCTTGCTTCATAGTTTAAGTACAGTAACGTGTGGCATATGTTCGGCTTGTGATTTAGGTCCCTGATCTTGGGAATCGGAGTAAGGTCCTTAAACTTGTACTACAAGTGTGTCAATTGAGGTTCATGCCATATTTAATTAGCAACTAATTATCCTGTTGCGCTTTGACAATAGTGTACCCACAGTCTGACCATGAGATTGAATATCCATCAGAAGCCTTTTCCTGACTCCATGCCCTTTTCAAGTGGAGTTGCAGAGTATGAATAGGGAAATGATCATAGATGGCAACACCCACAGTATGATTTATAATGAGAGAGGTGCACTGGATTCGCAAGTAATTTTAGTGTTTTTTCTAGATAGCTCAACTGCTCAAGTACTTAATTTTTCGCAATCATGAAAAACAAAAGGTGTCCTGTCAGCTGCTCAAGCTAACAAGTAACAAAAATAAAAGGGACCAGTAGTCAGGTCCCTTAACCAAATGCTTCACATCTATTGTGTATGATCATGCTATAGATATTTGGAAACTGGAGAGATACATCTTCTGTAAAAATGAGCTGGATCCTGGATTCCATGAAAATCATGTGCTCTCTGAATGAAACAGTAAACTATAGGGGAGACCTACTTATACAACCATGCGCATTCTGTTTTGAGAAAAACATCTGGGAGTCCTTGATTGCATTTACCTGATATATAAATGAATTCTTACATCAAACTAAGTGGTATTGCCTTTTCGAGAAAAAAAAAACTAAGTGGTATTTGCAACATAGAAGGAGAAATTTACATATTGAACAAGGGTCAGTGGGGGGTCACTGTTCACCAAAGTTTTTAATTTGCATCTTTTGTACAAAATTAAATTTAATCTTGTAGTTTCTGTGTAAATTTTTAAACTTCCACACACGAATTTTCTCTCTTTTCAAACAATATGCCATTTTCTTGAGATATTTACTGTAATTTTGTCTAGTAGAGGTTCTTCTGATTCTCACACTTGATGAACATATAGCAAGTTTATGTTAATTTTCTACCGCCAATTCAGAAGATTAACTAATAAAACATCGTTGGATAGGTTTCCTCACGTCCCTGGAATATACAATCAGGAGCAGATAGATGGATGGAAAAAGGTGGTGGATGCTGTTCATGCTAAGGGAGGCATCTTTTTCTGTCAATTATGGCACGTAGGCAGAGCTTCTCACCAAGGTATGTATTTATGTGTGTAATGATAACTCGTTTCTTTGAAATCCGTGACAGGTTTACTAAACGCAATCGCCCTTGATTATCAGTTGCCCTTGAGGATATATCTTTGCATCCACTTTTGTTGTTTCTTTAGACTCCGGGACAAGATTGATTCATAGTTTTCTCTATCTGGATTTATACATATCGAAATTGTGAAAAATATAGAAGACCGCAAACGTCATAACTCTTGTGTTCTCGAAAAATTCATGACTTTGACTTTATGTTGGAAATCTGAACTGCTAGTTCTTTCATCAGATTTGAGCATGAACAGCATGTAAACGTATCATGTTTTGTCTCCAATGTCGACTAATATTCTTTTATCCACCAGTATACCAGCCGGACGGTGCTGCTCCAATATCCTCAACTGATAAGCCGATATCAGCAAGGTGGAAGATATTGCTGCCTGATGGTTCATACGGAACGTATCCCACGCCAAGCCGCCTTGCGACATCGGAAATACCAGACATAGTCGAGCAATATCGCCAAGCTGCCATAAACGCCATCAAAGCAGGTAAACGGCACGCTTAAATTCACAAACCTTTGCATCCAACCATATAAACCTATGCGAGCGGAAACACACTGTGTATATAGTAAGCTGATATAGAGATGAACTGTGTTCCCAGGTTTCGATGGCATCGAGATCCACGGCGCTCATGGCTACATCATCGATCAGTTCCTCAAGGATGGCATCAACGACCGCACCGACGAGTATGGCGGATCGCTCACCAACCGTTGCAAGTTTCTACTCGAGGTGACCCGAGCCGTGGTATCCGCCATCAGAGCAGAGCGAACTGCGGTGAGGGTGTCACCGGCCATCGACCACCTTGACGCCTATGACTCGAACCCAATGCAGCTAGGCATGGCCGTCGTCGAACGGCTCAACGCTCTCCAGCAGGAAGCCGGGCAGCTCGCCTACCTCCACGTGACACAGCCAAGGTACGCGGCCTACGGGCAGACAGAGTCGGGCCCGCATGGCAGCGCCGAGGAGGAGAGCCGGCTGATGCGCACCCTGCGGGGCGCGTACCGTGGCACGTTCATGTGCAGCGGCGGCTACACGCGGGAGCTCGGGCTGGAGGCGGTGGAGAGCGGCGACGCCGACCTGGTGTCGTTCGGGCGGCTGTTCATTTCGAACCCGGACCTGGTCGAGCGGCTCAGGCTCAACGCCGGCCTCAACAAGTACGTGAGGAAGACGTTCTACACCCCTGACCCCGTCGTGGGCTACACCGACTACCCGTTCCTCGGCAAGCCTAAATCGCGCATGTAGTGTGTACAAGGTTAGTGATCGGAGATGGGATTTATTGTTAAGTGTATTTGGGGGAATAAGGTCATATACGCGCATGTAGTGTACACGAATTAGTGATCGGAGAACAGAGATGGGTTTGTGAAACGTATTTGAAGAAAATAAAGTAATATACGTGACTGTAATTAATTAGGCGATGATAGGCGCCGGTGCGCCGGTCCAAACATTCCGATGGTCTGCTGCTAGCCACCCGATTTAGAAAATGAGAACCGTGAGATCTCAGCCATGTCTTCCTCCCTTTCCATCTTCCTTCTCACTCCCGCGGGCATAGAAAACAGAAAAAACAAAAAAAAGGGATTCACACGCTCCCTGCAGGCACACCACCACCCCCTCCTGGTCGTCGTTGTGGCCGTGCCCGACGATCTGCGGCGAGGTCCCGCCCTTGTCTACCGAGATTGCATCACAACCATCATTGATTTTAGGCGCGATTCACCATGGACGCAACTCTAAAAAACGGTCAGATCCAGCGCGCAGGGGCCATCATTGCTACATCCCCAGCGTAGCCATGCCTCTGGCTCGCCGCGGTCGTCGCCTTGCACCATCACGTCCAGCAAAAAAAATCCTAAAAAAGCAACAAATGCTCAGTGATCAGTTGAAGCAAATCATTATAAGGTTTGAGCAAAAAAGATACCGTTTCCAGCAAAATCAAGCTCAGCACATATAACTTCAGTGATTGATTATAGCAAAAAAAAACACTAGTTTCAGCAAAAATAAACACTGGATCCAGCAAAATAACTCAACAGGGAGACTCCCATTTTCGATTGTAGCAAACAAAAAAAGGATTGTAGCACACAGAAAGGTTAGTTCCAATAAAAACATACACTAGTTCCAGCAAAAACACTCGTCGGTGGCGAGGGCCCGTTTGGTTCCAGCAAATCGCATGGTCGATGGCAGCAAAAAATGATGCTGGTTCCAGCAAATAGATGGCTGGTTGCAACAAAAAAGGGTCATCTGCAGCCCATCGTCCGTCTCCACGGCGTGAAGACCTTTCGACGATTGAAGCAGCATGGGGCACCGGTTCCAGGCCTGGGATGCCCGGTTGCAGCCAAAAGGCCGTCGCCGGCTGTCGTGGGTCTCCAGCACTTGTCGCCGCCATCTCCAACACCGACGAGTGCTGATTGCAGCACCTGTCACCGTCGACAGAAAATAGATGCAGAGATGGTGGATGGTGGTGCTCCCATGGTCAGAGACCCGCGACGGCCGCTGCCGCACAACGCCGTGTGTCAACCGTTGTTGTGCCGTGTGGAGGAAGAAGCAGAGAGCGAGCAGAGATGGTGAAGCGTGCCGCCATGATAGGATTGGGATGGATGGAGCGAGAGAGATGACATGCGCGGTGAGAAGCGAAGGGGATGTATAAGGCAGTGCTCGTGCGTAGTGAAACGATGCATGGGGCCCTAGGTAGTACGTTTGTGTATGGGAGCGACCGGCACAAGCTTCCGCCGGTCCGCCGGCTCGAAACATTTTCCTAATTTATTTCACCGAGGCCTCTGCGCTCTGTCAACTCCATGAGCAGAGTTTTTTATTTCATTTCTTTCTCCCTTATTTTCTATTTTTTTTCATGTATTATCTTTTTCTTGTATATACATAATTTTTTATAACCATGGATGGATTTTCTTCAAAAGAATATTTTTGAAGCGCGCGTTGACCATTTTTTGAAAAGGTGACAAACATTTCATACTCACAATACCTTTTTGAATTTCGTAACATAACGGTTTCTACTTTTAAAATGGCTAACAACGATTTTATATGTTTTCAAATAAAAATGTATTTCCCACTTTTTCGGCAATACATTTGTAATTTGTTAGTCAAAATAAAAAACATTGAAATAAATGGACCGCATGCGCAACAACATCACTTTGGCCATTTGCTATAGTACTGATAGTTTTTTTTAGGGAAGGTCATCATGGCTAGCTTTATTGCAACTTAAACGGGTAACACATCATCCACAAGTCTGGAGACTAGACAGCCCGGCGGCTCGTCCGTCCAACTACTAGAAATCTTATTACAAAAACTATGTTTAGCTAGCACATGTGCCGCATCATTACACACCCAAGAGCAATGATTAAAATTGACGTTCCCAATAGACGTAGCCGCATCCACACACTCCGCAAAAATAGCCGCAGAAGCGTCCCACCATCTTGTTTGTCCAGAACAATACTCAATCACCATGAGTGAGTCAGACTCTACTTCAACTCGAGGAAAGCCCAGAGTATTAGCAAACACTAATCCATCTCGCATAGCCAATGCTTCTGTAGTCACCACATCCGCTGCAAAAGGAATATAGTGACACTGTGCAGCCAAGAAATTTCCTTTAGGATCTCTGATGACCGCCGCCGTAGCTCCAGTTCCCTCATCCAGATTAAAAGATGCATCAACGTTAACTTTTACAAATTTGGGCTCTGGTTTTCTCCATCTTTGCTCCTGTATAACATGATTATTGGGGTTCATCTGTTGAAAGTTATTAGCTATAGCAAGAACAGAGAGGGGCCATCTCATCGAAGGGGGTGGTGCTCCTTCATGCGTTAGCTCACGCCGAACCCACCATAGATACCAGAATCCAACAGCCAGCACCTGATTCACATCAAGACTAGGTTTGAGAGGGAGTGGTCTGTCTTCTGCCAACAGAAGATGTTCCAAAATGATAGACCCCGACCGGTCCACTGTCATAGCTTCTTCAATGATATCAACAATGCCTAATCTTTGCCAGAGCTCATGTGCATGTGTACATTCAAAGAATAGGTGGCGTACATCTTCCGCAGCCTGATGGCATATCGGACAAGATCCATTAGAGCCTACATGTCTGTTTGCAAGTATTGACTTCAAGGGAATTATTCCGTGGAGAGCGCGCCAACAAAAAGTCTGCACCTTGCGTGGGACTTGCAATTTCCATACTTTACTCTAGATTTCCGCTGATCTTGAGCCAGACGGACGTGCTAAGACATTTGCATGCTGCCGGTAAATCTGAAACCATTGTATGTGGTAAGCCGATCTAACTGAAAACACCCCTCTTCGATCGGGATTCCAAGCAATAAAGTCCTCAAACGCTGCAGTATTCAAGGGGATTTGCAAGATCCTTCGGACATCAACAGGATTGAATATAGAGCGGATTAGTGGTTCATCCCATGCACCGGTGTAGGGATCAATCAAATCACTAACCGTAGAGAGAATAGACGGTCCTCTGCTTGAGATTACCCTCCTGTCAGGACTCGATGGTACCCAAGGGTCAGTCCATATCTTGACATTTTCGCATGTTCCTATTCGCCAGATATATCCCAATTAAAAAGTTTCTAAGCCTTTCATTATACTCTGCCAAGTGAAGGAAGCTCCACTTTTTAAAGTTGCTTGGAGTAGACTTCCATTCGGGAAGTACTTGGCTTTCAGCACCCGAGAACATAACGACTCTGGGTTGGTAATGAGGCGCCAACATTGCTTCGAGAGCATAGTCAAATTGAAAGAATAGAGATCTCTGAACCCCATTCCTCCTTCACTCTTCGGATAACATAATTTCCACCAAGTGTACCAGTGCATTCTTTTGTGATCTTCATCATCACCCCACCAAAATTGAGCTATCAAATCCGTAATCTCCTTGCAAATTCCCTTGGGTAAGCTGAATACTGACATGGCGAAAACAGGGATTGCTTGAGCTACAGATTTAATAAGTATTTCCTTACCCCCAATAGATAGTTGCTTCTCCATCCATCCTTTCAACCTCTCTTTTATTCTTTCACAGAAGTGCCTGAAACAGTCGCTCATATCTGCTCCCACCATTGCAGGCAGCCCAAGATATTTATCAGACAAAGCTTCAGTATCAATATGGAGCAATTGACAAATCTCATTCTTTGTTACCACAGGAGTGTTTGGGCTGAAATACACACTAGATTTCGATAGGCTCACCAATTGTCCCGAACTCTGAAAGTAGGTATCCAGAACATGTTGTAAGGAAGCTGCATTTAAAACATCTGCTTTCATGAGAATCAGAGAGTCATCAGCAAATAAAAGGTGTGATACTGATGGTGCATTTCTGCACACTCTAATTCCCTCAATGCCACCAGCTTCTTCTTCAAACTCCAATAGACTGGAAAGACCTTCTGCACACAAAAGGAATAGATATGGGGAGAGGGGGTCACCCTGTCGGATACCCCTCGTAGGTGTGAATGAGTCTGTATCATGAGAATTAAACCTCACTTTGTAGCTGACCGAACTTACACATGACAACTTCATCTCAATAAATTGGTCATGAAACCCCAAAGAAGCCATCATATCACGAAGAAAAGACCACTCCACCCTATCATATGCTTTGAGCATATCTAATTTGACTGCACATAGCCCTGTTTGGCCAGCTCTTTTGTTCTTAATCTTATGTATACATTCATATGCTATTAAGATATTGTCAGTGATCATCCTCCCCAGAACAAAGGCACTTTGAGTTGGCGAAATAATATCAGGTAGAATACTTTTTAGACGAAAGGCTAGCATCTTGGACACAATTTTATATAGAATATTGCATAGACTAATTGGGCGAAATTGAGTTACCAGCTCTGGTGTGTCAATCTTGGG